CATTATATGGGAGGTCGTGTCGATCTCCAGTTTGTTGGACAGAGGTGGGAGAGAGACCTTCTACGGGTCCGAATTTGATCAAAGACACCTCGAAGAAGGTGAACTTGATTTGGAATGGTCTTTTCACATCTCAGAGCCAGCAGAAGAGCTACGTCGACAGACGGCGACGACCTTTAGAGTTAGAGGTGGGAGATCATGTCTTCTTGAAGGTGATGCCTAAGAGAGGAGTGGCCAAGTTTGGTAAGTGGGGAAAGTTGTCGCCAAGGTATATCAGGCCCTTCGAGATATTTGAGAGGGTTGGTACAGTTGCTTACCGGTTGGCATTACCGCTAAATCTATCGGGTGTTTGTGAGGTATTCCATGTCTCTATGCTCTGAAAATATACCCTAGATCCAACTCATGTGGTGGATTAGGGAGAACTTGTGGTTGATACTGATGGGACCTTTGAGGAGGGACCGGTGCGCATCATGGATAGCCGGGAGCAGGTTTTGCGAGGCAAGAACCGTGCTGCTAGTAAAGGTGATGTGGTAGCACCGAGGAGTGGAGGAGGCGACATGGGAGCGCGAGGACACTATCCATACCAACTATCCCTTCTTATTTGAGGATGGAGATACACTTTTATAGTCTTGTAGTATTGTATAACTATTGCATATGCATGTGGTTAAGTGTATATGTGTGTGTGTGTGAATTTCAGGGACGAAATTCTTTTAAGGGGGGAAGAATGTAAAACTCAGTAAATTTAAACTTTTGTAAACAAAGGCAAAACGGTAATTTTGTCACTACATTAGGGGTTAAAAACCTGAATTTTTTTACATCTCGGATGACGAAATGGACCTCACCATTGAATTGGTCTCGCGAAATCTAGTTACCAAGTCAAATTTCATCGAATTTTGAGATAGTCAAATTTCATCGAATTTTGAGATAGTCAAATTTTTCATGTTTTACGAGGCAGTCGAGTCTCGGGTGACCCAAAAACGAAATTTTTGATAAAATTTATAAAATAATTTAAGACAAGTTAAAATAAAAATATTTTGAACTTGAACCGGGTCGAAATTAAATCGTTTCGGGACGAAAACGGACCTGAAAAAAAGAGGTTATGTGGCACAATGTGAGCCAAGTAAATGGAGGGTATAAAAAGGGAGGAAATCTGATTTCTTCCACACTTTCTTCAGCAGGTTAACATGAGAGGGGAAGAGAGAAAAAAGAAGGAGCTCTCCACTTCTCTTTATGATCTACGACTCCACGAACTTTGGATTCACTCAGGCCAAATGGATAGCTATATATACCACTTGTATATGGTTGTGAAATGGATAGAATTGGGTGATTGATGAATTGGGTACGTGAATTTGACCCAAATTAAGTAAAATTCCAAGATTGGAATTGGTGGGTTACAATTATTGTGTAATTCTATGAAAAATGGGTGTTATGTGGGCATGTTATATGTTTTATATCATGCTTTGTGAATAAGTTGGAAATTCTTAAGTGATAACATGAATTGTTGTTTTAATGGTGTTTGTCAAATGCCTATGTGTGAATCAAGTTGTTATGTCATAATGACGCATAGCATGCTTAGAAAAATGTGTTGGAAAGAAATGTTAATATGTGCTCATTGAGATATTGACATTGTGATGATTTATGAAATTTATATGCTTATGATATGAATTTTCATGGAACATGTAGACATGTGGTTTAAAATTACTCATATGACATTCATTACATGTGGGCATGATGTTGGAAAAGCAATGATGCATTACATTGCATATGCACGTAGACATCGCATTTTATGGGTGTGGGTGCATGGTTGGCATCGAACACCACATAGGTGGATGATGGATGGGCTTAGGAAAGTTGGATTGAATGTCCGACTAAGTCGCACGGTTGCATGAAAAAAACTTGGGTCGGGGTAGTAAGAAGGGTTAGACTATCCCTCGGGTGAGAGACCCGGTATTTGGATACACACTTTCGTTGGTATAAGAGCCCATAAAGTGTGTCGGTGTACACAAAACCATTGGTGGAAGTCCATGAATTTCGTGTCGCTTAGGTAACCGTTGGTGTAAGTCCATAAATACCTACCCCAAGAAAGACATGGAGATTTAGTTAGCCATTGGGTGTGTAACACAAATGGCGGGAGGCTTGGAGAGGGCGGTTTTGATACTCACTGCATAACATGGGGTGAAGGTAGATTGCTAGAGCTAGAAAAGCTTGGTGTTAATACACACTGGCATGGCATGTGTTGTAGAGCCAGGAGGGCTCGGGTAAATTGCATGAATAGGCATCATCTCACTTCATGGCATGGTATGTTAGATTTCAACCTTGACTTGCTTAAGTCTTGGTTGGAATGATTGTTGTTGTTAAATGTTGCATGTGAACATTGCATATGCATTTAGGTTAGGGAGAAATACTCTACTGGGCGTTGGTTCACCCTATACGGGAAACATTTCAGGTACGGGGCATGTTTCGGTGGATGACACACATTCGGGGTCTCAAAGGTGAAGAAGAGCTGGGTTGTGGCTCTTGAACAAAGTTTTATGTAAAACTTTTGGTTTAATTCCATTTTGGCATGTGAATTGTATGGAATGGGTTATAATAGACTTGTATTAATCATGTATAATGTAGAGAATATCTTTATACATGTTTGGGATGGATTTGAGAAGGTTTGGGTTGAATTAGAAATGAAAAACTGATGAAATATGAAATTCTGGACAAAACCTACCAGTAGTAGGCAATAACTACCGGTAGTTAACAAGTAGTACCTGTTCAACAGACAATAACTACCGGTAGCTAATAGGTAGTACTCGTCCAGCAGGCAAAACCTACCGGTAGCTAATAGGTAGTACCTGTCCAGCAGAAGGAAACTACCGGTAGCTTACAGGTAGAACTTCTACTGGTAGTTATAACAAACACCTACTAGTAGCTCTTCCAAAAATCTAAAAAATAAAAAAATTGTTTTGCTAACCTTTTGAACTTTATTTTCTTTAGCTCCAATGATACAAATGAACATTAAATGAGGTATATTGAGGCACATTGGACCTCCGTTGAATTAAATGATTAAAGGAACACGGGTTATACGTGTGGGTTATGATTCCGGTTAAGGGAATACAATTGGCATGATGTCGGGCTGTGCGACAAGCACGGATATTTCCGCGGGTTGACGGGTGGTCAACAGTTGAAAAAGGACCCTTGGTTTTAGGGGTGTCACACTCTCTTCCTTCTCCTCTTTGAGGTTCTCTTTCTCTTTTATCTCTTAAATAGGTGAGATTCCAACACCTTTACAACTTGTTCTTCCTTGAGTACAATGAAAATGATTATGTCTCAAAAGACTCACTCAAGAAGAATACAAAATCACTCTCTCTTGCTTCTCAAGAATATTATCTCAAATCAAAACTTTAAGACAAGAAAAATAATCTTAAAGGCTTACAACAAATCAACCCTCTTTCTCAATAAATAATACAATATCTTTTTGGATTCTAGCTCATAAGTTCACTTGTGCAAGAATAAGACCAAAAATGCCTTGAAGACCTCTATTTATAGTGGAGGTCAAGGAGGATTCAAAAAGCAAAAGTTTAGCACTTTTCAGTATTATGTCGTTGGCTCATAGCAGCTACATTTGGTATACCAATTTACTTGGCCAGTAAACCAGTTTGTCGGACACGTCTTCCTTGGCCAAGTACTAGAGGCTTCTAAGGTTTGCCGATTCACAAACTGGTATGCCAATTTGTCAGCAGAGTTTTTCTAGTTCATCAGAGGACTTAGGATGCAAAGTACCGGAAGCTATCAAGGCTTGCCGGTTCAGAGTTTGATATGTCAGTTCACCCATCCGATATAATGGTTCACCAATCCAGTATACCAGACACTCTATTTTTGCAGACAGAATTCTCTTGTTTTCTCTTACTTGCTTTCTTCTTTGATCTTGCCTTTTTGCCACCAATCACAATCTAACAAACACACATCTAATCAAAAAATTAAATCATGTTTAGATGTTTATCATCATCAAAATAATGCTTATAAATTTAGACTTAAGCCTCAACGAATTGAACTTAGGCCCATTCCAATTTAGTTTTATAGGTTGGATCTTATGGTTCGGCTTTAGTTATTTGTTCATTTTATTTTTTTGGGCCTTATGTGTTTATTCTTTATTTGGTTTTAAATTTATTTATATTGGGCCTTATTTGCTTGTGCCTATGGCATTTCCAGCACAATCCAACTTAGTTTCATATTATGGATTGGACTTTAATTTTTATTTGGGCTTATGAATTTAAGTCCAGCCCAATTTGATTTGAGAACTTGTTTGATTTTATTTTGGACCTAAACTATAGACATTAGTATTTTTTGATGTCTACACACACATACTTGCAATTGCACATACGATGTTTGATGAATTGCCACTTTAATTGTTTTATTTGATTAATTCATCATTTAGGGTTTTAAGAATAATGGCTTTAGATATGGGATCATATTCTTGGTGAGATTGAGTATTAATTAATCAGTTGAAATATTCTTACACAAAATTCACATGACGGAGGTTTTGGGTAGTTAAAAAGGATTCAAGTGATTAATTGACAAACCCATATTTGATTTAGAAATTGTGGCAGATTATGTTAAAATTGGTGAGTGTTCGGACTTCAGTTGTATTAAGCTATTCACCCCCCCACGTGTATAATTGTGAGGGATGATCCAACACACATCACATTTACTCAATTGGTATCAAAGTCGGTCTCCCTTTAGGATTGCATTTAGACACTTATTGGCATTCGTTGCATATTTTTCTATTTAATCTAGTTTGCAAGAAAGGCTTAACCCTAACTAGTAATGGAATTTGAGAGAATTCAATCCATTGCTCTTGTGTGGATGCCTTAAGGAAACTAGCACTAGTCCAAGAGATGGCATCCATGTTGCATATGAAGAAATTTACATTGAATGTCTTAAGCAAAAGAAAGCACACCTTCGATTGAATAAAAAATTCAAAAAACTGGAAAGTTAAAATAATGTGCAAAAAACAGAGCTTGAAGAGTCAAAAAACGGACTCTTGAAGTCAAGAGAGGCCATCACTAAGTTGGGTGATGAGAAATCATCTCTCCTTGATAGAATGAACCTATTAGAGCGTGCATTGCATGAATCAAAAGAGAGAAATCCAGATCTTGAGTCTAGGTTTGCTAAACTTGAAAACTATCTTGAGGATTCAAACAAACTCACAAGAAGTTTGTCCCTAGGCACTGAAAAGCTTGATAATATGTTGAGTGTTAGGAGATATGCAGGTGACAAGAGAGGTTTAGGATACACGGGTAAAGTTTCCACTTCATCATCTTTTTAAACCATGTTTGTCAAAGCAAAGGACACACCTACCACAAAAATAGAACATGTTTCTCTGAGAGTGACAAAAGGAAACGAGATTCACTACAAAGGCATAATCTAAAGAAGCTTGAGTCTCAACCTTTTGTTCCAAATAAGGTTTTAGTTTGTCACACTTGTGGTGGACACGGTCACACTAGCACTCGATGTACATACCTTAGGGATAATCTTGATATAGAGCTAACTCACCTAGTTCATCAATCCAAAGTCGTGAGTAGCCAAGTTCATGACCTTAGTCAACTTATAGGATCGGACCAAGGTTCTGAGGTTCCACCTAGGAAGAGGTTTCATGAACCTAAGTTGAGCAATCCTCATGAATTTAGGAAGCAATTCAAGAAGAGGAAAAGTAGTAGAAAGAAAGTAAACAAATCCTTAGCTCAACCCTCATCCAAAGTGGTTAATGCACAATGATTTCCTTTTAAAGTCACGGTAATTTGGGTGAGGATACAAGATTTGATAGATGCACCAAATATACAGAACCTAAAAACACCTATAAGTGCATGTTCTGTCACTTGATTGAGTGTGCATTTATGGACTTGTCCCTAAGAGTATACATGACATATCATGAATTATGGAAAAATTCATTGTTAGCTTAGGGCTTTTCTTTGTTTATTTACTTTGCTTTTAATATATGAAAAACACAAAAATTCAAAATTCAAAATGCAAAAAGATTTTTGATGTCTAGTTGGACATCTTTTTAGGATTTATGGTAATTGTTTTGTTTTTCCTTTGTAATTGCATAGTTATGCATATATTTCTATTGTTATGATATTTAAGAAAAACCAAAAACATTGGAAAAAGAAAAATCAAAAGATTTTATTTTGTTTGTTTTTCGTTGTTGATCATGATGGTAATCACACTTTGATTTGATTTGTAGTTTATCCATCTTCAAATCAAAGTTAAGTCCACAGCTATGAGTCATATTAGGGGATAGAGAATTTAGTGGTTATAAGTCATAGTGCATGATCCTTGAACCAATTATCTTTTGCCCTAACGTGTGTGGATAGTGTAATCTTTGTGAAAATTCATAACACCAAGTGCACACGTACCATTCACCTTTATACTTAGGAGTCTATGTAGCTTGAAAGATTAATTACCTTACATGAATATGTGTTGGTGATAGGTGAACACATAGCTAAAGGATAGTAAATATTCAAATTCCTTAAAAGATGCCAAAGAGCCAACTGTAAGAAAAAGATCCCATTGTGGCCAAATACAAAGTAAGGCATAAAACAATCAATGGCTAGAGTACAATATGTTTATTTTTGTTGCTCTAGGAGGGGGAGATGTATGTAGATCTCCCCTCACAATTAGAAGTGTGGAGTACACGACACTACCTAGAGGGAGGGGAGGTGAAGTGGTTTTTATAACTTTAAGCTTAAACAATAACAAACCTATTACTACCACAATTATCTCTTCTTACAATGATTAGTCAATTAATAGTGAGAACCCCCTTTTAACCACAATGGCCCAAAACACCCATGTAGATGAATGTATTAATTTTAGAAATTAATCTCAACACTAAATCTCTCACGGGGATCCAACTCGATGACCCAAACCCTTGGATGCACAACTATGGATGATTATGATACTTGAACATTCATTCAATCAAACACATAGTGCGCATATGTGCTCAAATTGCAAATGTGTATGAAAATACGATGAAAAACACAAACAATTTGTTGACATGAAAACCTTTCTCGGGAAAATTCGTGGGAAAGCTTCTCGGTCCACCAAAATCTAATCCACTACACCAAAGTCAGCTTTTAAGTACTCGATCTTTTATCTCTACCAATACCATAGTTAAACACTCCCTTCCTTCAATAAGCCTCGCCGCCAAAGTGCCTCTCCAAGCGTTATGTATAGCTTCACTTGGATTCACTACTGCAATGGATTCTCTAGGCCTCGAGCAATCTTGGACCACCAACAATCCCCGATGCACATACACCAATGGGTTTGGTCTTCAACCAATCAAGATCTTTTTTACCAAGTTGTGAGGTCGGATAAGAATCACTAGATGGTAGCCTTGTTGATTCGTCATGTAATTTACCAATTCTTCACTTAATTNCATGGGCTTGATTCTGAAAATCCTTACCTTCACATGAAGGAATTTGAGGACATTTGTGGAACCCTTCAAGATAACACTGGGTTAGCCAAGCTGAAGCTTTTTCCCTTCTCCTCAAAGAATAAAGTGAAGCAAAGGTTTAACATTCTTAAACTCCACTCTATTATGGATTGGTCTGTGCTTCATAAAGAGTTTTTCAAGAAATTCTTCCCCATTCACCACACAAATGCTTTGAAACTTCATATAATGAACTTTGTGGGGAAGGAGGGAGAAAACTTATGTTAGTGCTAGGAATAATTCAAAGACCTTCTCTATGCTTATCCTCATCACAGGTTTGAGAGTTGGACCCTTGTTATTTTTTCTATAACTCACTCCCTACCCATATGTGTCAGTTTGTTGAAATGATGTCCCAAAGATAGTTCATGGATAAGAATCCCAATGAGGCATTCGAGTTTTTTAACATACTTTCTGAGAGTTCCCAGATGTGGGACTCGATTTCACCGACTCTAGCCCGGAGTCAATCTACTACTTTCAATGGGTGGAAAATAAACTTTGAGAGAGGATGACAATTTATTGGCTAAGATGGCTTCTTTGTCTCAAAAGCTTGAGGCTTTAGAGATGAAGAAAGTCAATGAGTTTGCTAATGTTCCACCCACAGAGCGTACATGTAGGATATGTGCCTTGGTGGGACATTCTACTTAGGAATGTCCTATGATACCCTCCTTATAGGAAGTTCTATTGAAGCAATCCAACACAGTCTTCAGATATCAAAAGCTGTATAATAATCCTTATTCTAAAATTTACAATTCAAGTTGACAACAACACTTGTTGGAGGAACAACCAACAACAGAAAGCCTTACCACAAACACCACAAGCTCCACCACTACTATAGTAAAATCATTATCCATCCTACCAACCACCTCACAAATGTAGTCTTAAGGATACCTAGAATTAGTTCATGCAGGCTCAAATACAACAAAATATACAAAACAATCAGGCCTTCAATGACTTCAAATCTCAGACCTCGCAGTCCCTTGAGGGCATGAAAGGTCACCTACAAAAGATGACTCAGTCGATGGCCACCCAAGAGAAGGGAAAGTTTCTTGCCCAGCCAAAGCCTCCACAGGGTTAGTTCCATGTAGGTAATTCTACTCCCATGGTCTCTTAAAATGAATAAATCCAAGTTCTCACTACTCTTTGGAGTGGAAAATTCAGATAAATTCATACCACGGGCACCCATTGAACCCAATCCTATACCTATAGTACCATTTGTTCCAGTCTCCATTGATGAGATCGAGTCTGGAGAGGTTGAGGAGCCTCTATGTCCTATTCCTACTCCCTTCCCTCAAAGACTCAAAACACCTCCAAAAGCTAAGCAATCATGCTGATATTTACAAGTTTTTGAAGCAAGTAAAGATCAATATTCCATTTCTAGATGCCATCAAACAAGTCCCTTCATATGCCAAGTTCCTAAAGGACTTGTGCACTATGAAGAAAAATCAAAATGTTCAGAAAATGGCCTTTTGACAGAACATGCAAGTGCCACCATACAACACAAGACTCCTCCAAGTATAAGGACCCAGGGTGTCCTACAATTTCTTGTGTCATAGGGAACTTCAAGATTGAGCAGTCTTTACTTGATCTTGGAGCAAGTGTCAATCTACTCCCCTACTCTATCTACTAACCATTGGTTTTAGGCAAACTCAAGCCTACATGTATCACATTGTAGATGGCAGACCGATTTATTAAAATTCCTAGGGGAATAGTTGAAGATATCCTTGTTCAAGCAGATAAGTTCTTTTTCCCTATGGACTTCTTCATTTTAGACACCCAACCTATTGCAAATTCAGGAAGTCAAATTTCCATTATTCTTGGTTGACCTTCCTAGATACTTTGAATGCTCTAATCAATTACAGGAATGGAGTCATGCAACTATCATTCAGGAATATGACTCTAGAGCTCAATATCTTTGATATAGCCAAAAAGTCGAGTGATAAGAATGAAGTGAGAGACGTGCATTCTAGTAAGTCTATGACACAAGAGCATATGAATACAGAATTCTTTGGGGATTCCTTGGAAACATGCTTGGTTGAGTTGAAATCCTCAGAGTTTGAGTTCATTAAATAGGAGGATTATTTGACTTTAGCTAGAGTGCTAAAGTCAGTATCTGTTTAGTCAGTCGAGCCATGGGTGCCCAAGTTTGAAGAGCTCTCTCCTAGTGGTATGAAGCCACTCCCTTCTTCTAAAAAACCATAAAAACCAGAGTTGAAACCCCTCCCTTCTACTTTAAAGTATGCATTCCTTGGAAAGTGTGAATCATACCTGGTGGTCATCTCATTTGTACTTACATTGGACCAAGAGACCAAGTTGTTAAGGGTTCTTACGTGTCATCGCGGTTCCATAGGGTGGACCATCGCTAATTTGAAGTTCATAAACCCTATTGTATGTAATCTTGGAAGAGGATTCAAAACCCTCCCCCCAAATGTAGTGACGGCTAAACCCTCATCTAAAAGAGATTGCATTGGTGAAGTATTGAAATTGTTGGATGCAGGAATCATATTCCCCATCTCAAATAGTAAGTGGGTTAGACCTACCCAAGT